GAATCACTTGAAAAAACATGGGGGTGCTTAACTTTTTTCCAGGTGTATATACACTGTACTAATATTACATACATTTTAAAATGTTCTAACATAAAGTAAAGAAGTAACAGTAATTTACATTCTCACATATCCAATAATATAATTGCAAGGTGGTTATAATATACCAGAAATTATGAAAACATCTCAGAAAATAGTTTACACTCACAAGAGCTTTAGAAAGATAGCTTAACATACATACAAGTATTTTTTTTTAACATTTTACTAATCTTACTACAATGGACATAGGGTTGTACTACAGCATGCAGTATACAAAGATAATTACACTATAGTGTGCAGTCTACACAGATTTGAGTTTTGGAAATAGTAACAAAATGTATAAAATGAAAGGTAGTGGAGTAAAAGTACAAGTAATTCTCCTAAAAGTTACTTAATTTAGAGTAAAAGTATTTGAAAATACTTTTTAAAAAGTAGATACTGACAAAAGTTACTCTAGTACTGTACTCAAGTAAAGTTACTTTGTTACCTTTATACCCACGCTCACTAGAACTGTACATGAGGGTTTGATTGTACCTTTATTAATGTAATTTGTAAGTATAGCACTAAAAAAATGGAGCCACTTTCAATATATAAAAATATTACAGTTTATATCAGCAAAATCCAAACACTTTTCCTGTGCAGTACTTCTGAGGAAAATACATTTTTAGAAAATTTTCACTTTTTCTAAATTCTTTCAGTGATGTATGAATACTACGATTAGTAACTACTAGCACAAACAGCTCCCCATAGGGTGGCATTTCTGCTAGTCTAAGTAATTAACATAATATTACTTACTCACCTTGTTACTATTTCATTGTTTTAACACACATTATATGAGCCAAGGGGGGTCTTTGTTGTTCATCAAGAAATGCTAACCCATTGCAGCTTTATTTTATTTTTTTTTGCTATACCTTTGTGATTATTCTCAATGGCTGAAATTCAGCCATTTTGCGTCTCTTTTAATGAATTGACGATTCTGTTGACAGCCAGGTCAATAAAACTGTGGTAGGGAACTTTCATGGAGCATTTAACCTGGAAATTTAAGCATCTGAATTGTGGGATATGCTTCAAATGCAGCAGTTGTGATTGTTCATGCGACAGATTATCCCCTAGAGTAAAAGCATGGTGGAAAGCAGCCAATGAATCCTCAGGTAATTCAGAAACAAACATTAGAAGTAAATAGAATTCCAGCTACTTTGTGGAGTGTTACATCCACCATACGATTTATGGCCAAAAGCATATAGATTGATTCAAGGACGATGTTAGAATGTTCAAGAGAATAAATGAAAAAATGGGCTCCGGAAGAATGCTTGAAGAACTGCAATCTACATATCCTGATCAATTCAATATATCATCCTACATGGAGATTTGTCAATATATCACAGCCCTGACAGTGAAGTACAAAAACATGATACCCTTGACAATACTATTTCCAGGGGAATACAGCAACCTTACAGAGATACATTGATGCCCATTGTGTCTGAATCCAACTACACCATTACACTAAAAGTGTAGTCTGTGAGTTCCAAGTGCTGCATATAGATGACATTCACAAAGACGATTTCCCAAGTGATGATCAACTGAAGCAATTAGTTTCTCAAATACAGTCAAAGCAAAAGAAGAAGAATCAAACAGTTACCATCCCATGGTAATTGTATTACCATGCCTATGTACTTTATTATGCACATCCACTTGGAAACAATGTGCCATAACCTTTGAAACATTTATTCCATTTTTGTAAAAAAAAAAGGTTGAGAGTTTCTTGGTTCAAGATACATCTAGATACATGGTTTTAACACATACGGCATTGGAAAAGTTTCGGTAACCAACAAACCCATAGTAAAAAGACCCCCCCCCCTCCCAGAATCATATGACATGTGTTAAAGAACATGTTGCATTAACTTAACCAACTTCTCTACAGATAAGATATTACAAATTTAGTTTGTTACTATTGTCAAAACTATGCATTAACCCTGACTTAAACTATTCATACATAATTCAGTGAGTTACAACACTGACTGGTCACTTTATCCTTTTTCAAAATCAATGGGATGTCAAAGATATCCTCCAATATTTTCCTTCTCACAGTGAAATGAAATTGAATGAAATCTAGTAAAAAAATTCTAAATAATATGTAATTTCTGCTTTAAAAAAATTCATATAATTTGATTTTGTATTTCTATCACTTTTAAGTTCTGTAGTTTCCAAAATTTTGTTGAGACACTTTTGAAAAAAACACTAAAAAAATATTTCCTTTTGTCTTTGGATTTCAGCTTTTATTATTGATCAGAAACTTCCATTTTCTGTACAAGTTAGTATAACTTGACGTTTACTAATATATTTATTTTGATACCTTATTTTGTTGATTGAAGCACTCACCATTTCCAGTTATAAATCATACAAAATGTGGCAAACTTATCAGTGATCAATGCTTCACATTTCAAAATGACATTACCATTATCTTTGTCAGGCACTGTATCAGAAGTTTTTGCCAACAATATTCTTGGCTACGATCAATCTATATCTAATAAATGTAGTGCTTTTATTTGTGTTATTTGAATACAATACATTTAATAGCAACAACAAAAGGATCTGTTTCATTTGAATACTTTGCCATTACTAACTGTACTCACTATATCAAACTAAGTTTAGCTGATGTCATTATAGAAGACTATTCCTTTAGCTTTAACTTAGATATAATTTAACAAGAAACATTATCAGTAATAAAATGAATTTCAAAAGAAATAAAAAACAGCAATTCAGATCTGTAGTTTGTTCTTAAGTACTGTAAAATTTTTATTAATAGGAACTTTTGTTCATATTATTTACTCTATACTAGTATATACTAGAATATCTTCTAACCATTAGCTTTAGGTGTTTTCAAAGCTAAGCATCATTAGTAATTGTTCAGACATCATAAAGTGGTGGCACTGAAGAGCTGTAGTAATGTAAACAGTTACAGATTTATAGGATAGGAAATTGAACATGAAAAACAATACATGCAGTAGTTTTAAAATGGACAAGTATCCAGTACTTTACCCACCTATTATTTATATAGATACTGGCTACAAACAAATTAAAAAAAGTCAAAATTCCTTTTCAAATTTCGTAGTAAAATGTCTTTAAATTCATCAGATAAAAAAAGTGAAAGTACAAAACTTATTTATAGAACTCCTGATATATGGACCACTTGAGCACTTATTAATTAATGTAGAAGACACTATGCATTGTTTTGATGGTAATTACAAATATGGAAAAGATAAAATCACAATTTTCAAATTTCTCCAACCTACAAAATGGGAAAACAGGTGTTTATGATTAGAAAAAATTTTATTTACACTGTGATTACATTTATTACTAATCTTTAATAATCAAGTTTTTTAATCAAATCATGTTGTTAGGGTTTTTACTGTACTCATGGGTCTCAAAGTATTACTAAGAACCTCAAATAAAAGTTACTAATTATATGTCCAGCTTTGGTTCAATAAAACATTTGTAGAATAGAACTGATGTAGGAATGACACATTATAAGACATCTGATTTAAGTTGCACTCAAAATATAATTATATAGTCTGCAGAAAAATCATGTGTATCTGAATGATTTAATTAGATTTATATGTAGTTCTGCAGTAAACATTATTATAAAAGTTGTACTTACTGAAAATCATTTAATTATGCCCTTGCTTGTTGGTTACCTTCTAAAATGTCCATGTAACATCTAACCAATTTTAGATTGAAAGCTCTGGACATGGATAATTATATTTCCAAGGGATGATAGTGTTTTCAGCAAACATAGGCCTATACTTTGGAATGATCAGTAAAATTCTAAGAAATCATTAAAGGTATTGTTTACAACAGGTATTGTTTATGTAACAGATGTTACATAATGTTAAAATAAAATTTCTACAATATTTCACTAGTGTAACATTCTCAACTGGAGTATTAACTCAGTTAAATACAATATTATTAGCTTAAAAAACAGCAACTAAACATGACAGGAATTTAGTTTGAAGGAAGAGAAAGCAAAATGATAGTTGGCTGCTCTTCGCAACAGGAGTGCTCAGGAACAGTTGTTCCCCTTTAACTCCACATGTGAGATTAGTTTACAACAGTGGCCATAATTGCAAATATAAACATTGACAAGGAGTTTTTGAGAGAAGCTGTGAAGAAGGTCAGCAGAGGTAATATGAAGTTCTTCGTTTCCAGAGGTGGTGATGTAGACAAGGCAAGACATAGATCCAGACATGCAATCGAAGTACTAAGTTTACATCATGTGAATTTAGGAGTTAATTTTTATTTTAATTAGAGTTTATTGAAATGGATTTTATAGAAATGATTTGAATTGAAATTAAATTGGATTATTATTAGCTAAATACATACATTTGCTTAAATTCTTTACACTTTATGAATTATTGTTTACTCTTTTCCTATATACTGACTTTAGTTTAACTTCTCTAGAGTAATGTATTGTTTAGAAGTAATTTCAGCCTACAAAGCTATCATTTAACATTTCTGAAAAAAACAAAAAAATTAATATTGAGATTGGTCTGGTTTAGTGCCCAAAGTGAACCTTTTTTCTTACTATTTTTGTTATATTTATTGTTCTTATTGCTACCATATTTCTATATTAACTTAATTTTCATGTATAATATTTAAGAAAATTACTAACCCACTTTGAAGTGAGAGAAGATGCACTGATGGAGAAAAACGTTGCCTTTGATTGACTAGCTATACATTTACCTGGAAGTAATACCAGAATGATAATTATTCAAAAATCTTTCAAACATTACTAATGTAATACTAACAGTACTTTCTTAAAGAAACCCAGACAAAAAAATTTACAGCAAACACAGGAATTTGATATCCAGTACACTTTTTTCTTTCTAATCACACACTTCCTCTAAATTGTTATAATTTATGAAAACATTCATAAGATTGAGAGATAGATAGATCAGCCAATGGTGACATTGTTTAGATAACTATTTTTCAGCAGTGAAGAAGTACACACTGATACATTTAATATTAAAGTTGCAACTATTGTAAGTTACCTATCAAAGTTTTGCCAGTACCAGGTGGCCCAAATAACAGAATTCCTTTTGGTGGGCCTCTTAGTCCTGTAAAAATATCACTGGAAAAAAATCAGAAAAAACGATTTATGAATATAATGAGGTTCAAAAATGAGAATGTGACAATCTCAATAGTTACCAATTAAACTCAATGAAATTTTAAACAAATAAATTATTTCAATTTTGGAATCCTTGCTATGTAAGCAAACAAATACTTTAACTTAGTGAGACAATAACACGGGCAAAGGTAATGTGTCAAATTGTGGATAAAGTGTGCCATATACACTCAGAAACACTAACTTGTAGACATACTAACAAGGATAAAACTTACAAACAGAATTACAGTTATACTATATGTTATGTATAAACTTGGAAATATTGCAAATTCCTATTAAAATAACAAGGAGAAAGCTACCATGTAAGCTAAAAACCACAATACAATTGTCACTTCATGAGACACTACCAAGATAAAACTAAGATGTAGACTGTAAACATTACTACAAAAATGTATTCATACGGTCTAAGCATAGGCCAGACTACAATCTCCATAATAGTCTTCTTAGCAAATTCTAAACCAGCTATATCATCCCAGGTGACAGGTGGGCCATGGTCCATTATCTGTTTGAAGTAAAATGGAATTAATGATTCGCTAAAGCAGTCTGGATTGTCATAATAATATGTTTCACTAAAAAACTTATGACAATTGATTCATAGCCTAATAAACCAATTAATCATTACTACTTGAAGGCATAAAGTTTTAATATTAAGAAATTAATTTGAATAGCAATGTCACACAGCAATTCTTTTCAGGGTAAAACACAACAGAACATATTTCAAACTAAATAAGATCCATGATAACAACACACCTCATTCATCATAATCTCTATCATTTTGGGATCAATATTCTTTAATCTTTCGTCTGTAATATTAACTGAAGAGGGATTTCCACCTGGGAGGTTTTGAAGAAGTGAACATCTACAAAAAATAAGAGTTTATCTTGAACCTAATAATCATTAATTTACTACAGATAAATGTAGATATTGTATGGAACTATAAGCAAATTTTGTCTTAGCTGATAATTGAGTAAGATCTTCAAAACATACTTTTCATTCTCTTCTGAAGTGCTTTTACTGGTTACTGGAGGAACAAATTTACTAGCTGGGCCTCGGCTGTTGAAAGAAAAAAAATTAAAGTCAAAATTCAAATAGTGCAAAAACATTAGTTACAACAACATCAAAGAAACAGAAAAATATTTAAATTTGTGATTTATATTCATCAAAAACCCAGTTTCCATTTTTTAATCTTTTCCAAAATTTTAACAAGCTTTAGCATTCATAATAAAATTATATAAACTTAAAAATTATTCAACAAAAGTAAATAAATTACAAACCCATGCAAGTTATAATTTTCCAATAGGTATTTACCTCCCTTAACATAAATAGCTATTCTCATTCAGTGCTGCCCTCTATATGCAATTTATTTTTTGCATACCACAAGTTTTGAGTTCCCACGTACCCCAAGATCAATGTGGTTCAACTGTGTCTTGCATGCAAATCATCATACGTTAATAAAGTAACAACAAATATCTATTAAATCTATAAAGTAACAAATACATATTAATTATTACTCAAATTATTATTTCAGTCGTTCTTAATGTATCAAGCATCTATATGCAAAGAAAAGCCAAAAACTATGGTTTTTATCATTGAATGAAGATGTAGCCTAAAGATGCTTTGCTGGCTTTACGGCATAACCAGGTTTCATTCGTCCGAGCCCCTGGGCAGTTGCCCCCGCTCTGTCGGCAGGCCTTGGTTCAGATCCCTATTCAACCATTGTTCTCTTCCTTTTAGATGTGCTCCTCCCAATTTCTGCCCATGTCTGGGACACCTCTTTTAGGGTGTTCTTCGGATGCTTCTTTCTTTCTTTCCATTGCACCGGTCCCTCCACCTATTCAGTGTGGGATTCTAACTATTAATGTGTGAGGAGGTAATGTACTGTATTGGAAGTGATAATTTTCCTACACTGAAATGTATTTCCGATAGGTACTTACCTCACTTCACACTTCTCACCCTTCCTCCCCACTAAAAACTGGTGCTTCCATTTTCTGCCATAACTTGAAGTGATAGTTCAGTAGAATCAAATAGAGTAAATCACATGCATCATGAGGGTGTGTCACACTCCTATTGGTGGAGGGTTGTTGTTTTTTACGCTTATACTGTGAGGTAAAAACGGCTGCTGCTATGATTTTGTCTGGTTTATGAGCTCGTTGCTGTCTAATTTAGGATCTTCTTTTTAATAAATTCTTGGAAATGTTAAAAAAGAGAGAGAGAGAAAGGGGGTCCGGCGAGGATGTTTGCCCCGGGGCCCGTGCTGGCTCTCGACGTTCCTGATTGTGTAAGATTATGTGCAACTAGGTTCTTGAGAAATAGGTACATCTCTGATAAGTCACTGGTTCGAGCATGATCTTTTTCCATACATAGTAATGATATCATAGCGCATTGATTCACTGGCAGTTAATACGGTGCACTTAATTTCAATACCTAGATGGAGGCCATAAATATTCCATAGTATGGACTGTTTAACATTGTGTTTAATCAGTATTATATCATCCTCCGTCTTACGAAATTCTCTACCAAACAAAAAGTTGTTTTTTAATATACACGTTTGTGTGTGTGTGTGTTTATTTCATGACATCTTAAAAAGTAAATGTTGTACAAATATAGATGCATGCACAAATATTTATTTTTTAAGTTTCATGTCAAGTCATGAGACCATGGACACATGAAAACTTTTCTTAGAGTTGTAGCTTTTATTATAGGTGCTACCTTAATATTTCCTTGGTCATTTATGCGGTGTGGGACAATTAACATTGATATCTTCACCTTATGCAGTGATCAGGATAGGTAGAGAGATATTGGATTTGGGTTAACACCCACAGAACCTCACTCAATATTGTTAATTTTCTTAGCCAGTTTGGCGTGAAGCTATCAGAGTTCTGATTTATATGCATCACAGTAATGACTTGTTTCCTGTGGTTAAAGTTATTAATTAACCATTTAACTACTATTATATATAACTTGATTTGTTTTATTTACCTCCTTTAGTACTGCATCATGATTACCTTAACAACCTCACCTGCCTAGTGGAAAGGTTCAAAAATGCAGTTGATATGCTCTACTTTGTTAATTTAATGTTGTTTATAAGTGGTTGTTAAATGTATCAATATAAATATTGCATTGTTCTTTTTCTTGATCTTGTTATAATTTTTGTTGCTTCTGGGCTTTATTTTAATGATCATTTTAATATATTTTGTATGATATGGTTAATTTTCTGCCCACTATACCGTATTATACTATCCTGACTGCTATATTATCTGTTTTACGGTCTTGTAAAAAAGGAATTTTGTTTTTTCATATATATTGATTTTTAGTAACTCATAACATAATTGCTGTTGCAAAAGATGTTTTTTACACAGTTTTATGCAGAACTTATAATGTTATTATCAAGAATTTTTCCTGTTATTGCCACTGCGACTATTATATTTGCATTGGAAAATATCATGTTATGTATTTGTTGTGCATGTGGTAAAAAAAGTTGATTCACTGGTGTTTTTACGCTTTTATCTTGATATTATATCTTAGCCTTCATCTCTATGTTTTCAACATATAACAATGACGTTTGTTTGATTTCAAACTCAAAGTCATTAACAACCAATGTCAAATCTCATGTGTAGAATGATTTACAAATTTTCATTGCTTAATCTATTTATAACTATTTGACGTGTCAGTGAAGAGCACAGAAAACATAAGAACCACGAGTTGTGTAGGAAGGGAATCAGATTCTACCCTCCCATGTCTCTCCCCGTGGAACCCTAAGGCTATTTCTCAGTTTTGATGGCAATTGTTCCAGCAGGTCACCAGCTATAAGCGAGCATAGATACATATAGGCTTTTGTCAAATAATAGTTTAGGTAAGATTGTTTGTTTGTTTGTTTGTTTGTTTTGGAATTTCGCGCAAAGCTACACGAGGGCTATCTGCGCTAGCCGTCCCTAATTTAGCAGTGTAAGACTAGAGGGAAGGCAGCTAGTCATCACCACCCACCGCCAACTCTTGGGCTACTCTTTTACCAACGAATAGTGGGATTGACCGTAACATTATAACGCCCCCACGACTGAAAGGGCGAGCATGTTTGGTGGGATGCGGATTCGAACCCGCGACCCTCAGATTGTGAGTCGAGCGCCTTATCCACCTGGCCATGCCGGGCACGTTTAGGTAAGAATTTTACATACGATGTTGATCGACTCTCGTTTGGTAGGCTATATTAGATAGTTACTTGTGTTGGTTTTGACAACGATAGTTTCTTTGTTATCAATATAACATCTTGTGCTATGTTTAAGGTACTCTGTCGCTGTTTATCTTTTGTACATATATAAAAGAAGATTTTTCATTTTCTGAGGCTATGTTTATTGATAGTAAAGGCTTTGACTGTTTTGCCTTATTTTAGATTTACTGCTTTGTGCCAGCCGTAGCGGCGCTACCTTACACGTAGTTTACATGTTTGCATACTTCATAAGCCACTATAGCTTGTGTATAGTTATTGGTATTTTCAATCCGAACAGGACTCAGCTGCTAGGTCAAAGACCCTTAAGGTTCATGTATAATCGTCCCTAATTTGAACTACTAGTCTGAGTGGAAACAGACAGTCAGCAGCCTACCAACCCGAGGGTTTTGAATCGAATAACGGGATTTAAGCCTTTTATGGGTGTTATCAAATATACATAAAACTGTTAAGTGTGTCATTGTACATTAGTGTAACCTACTGCATTGTAACTTAGCCTATGACTTTTAGTTTTGTACTTTAATATCAGTTAAACTGCTTTTATGATAACAATATTTTTTATTATTTTTTATTTTGCTTTTAATTAAATATATTAGCGTCGCCAGTAAAAGTGTTTTCACTGCATTATTTTGATGTTTTACAGTAGAAGTATTATGAACTTGTTTGAGGAGTTTTGTTTGTGTCTTGTTCTGTTTTGCTTGCCTTGTCTTTGTATTACAGTTTCACAGATTTTAAGTAGATATTGAGTATCTCTTGGCCTATTAGGCACATACGTGCTGTTCCAATATTTTATGGCATCAAGAAGCATCTGGAGAAACAGGTAACTTTTTGTTTGTACTGCCAACTAAGGATTGAAGCTCATGCGGGAATAAGTTATTCGCGTTTAAAATTGGTTCGGATTTTAATTATAAACTAATATCAAACAAGGATATCTCGAGAGGAAAGAAGGAGAAAATTTTGGCTTGTTTACAATATTATTTCACCATCTTATAATTAATATTATATATATATGTGTGTATGTGTGTGTGAACATACATACATACAATTTTATTTAACTTCCATGCATACCTGTTACAGACTTCAAAAGCTTTCATGCTGATATGACTGTAAGTGTTACCGCGGATACTGTCTTAATGGGCTGAGAGTAAGCAAATGGTTAATGTACCAGACTATGGGGCTTAAGGGCCATGGTTCGCGTCCCAATACAGCAAAATCGCACTCAACAAGCTCTGTGCGAATATAGGACACAAAATAAACCAGCAATCTCAATATCTTACATATCATTTTTGCAAAGTAATGGACATTTGTTATTGCTCACACCTTATGAAACTGTGGGTGGGAAGATAATGTATTTGGGTTTAACGCCTACTAAATTTGAATGAACGAGCAATAGATATACGGTTTTGCTGGTTAATTCTGTGTATATTTAACCAATCATCAAATTCACGTTATGTAAAGTTTTCATCAAGCCAGCGTTCATGGGTTTTTCTCGGTTTGCTTTTATTTTAATACAGTTCAAGTCTAAGGTCCCGTTTTGCCTTTAGTTCAACTTTAACTTTTCATCACTTATTATATGTTGCTTTTTCAAGCTTATGGCAATATGCTGCATTTGAATGTTAAGATTTTATGTAATAAATACTCGTGCTTTTCTGTTGCACATCTGGCTTCACCTTTTAAACCTTTCCATTAGCTGTTACCAACTAAATCTACGATATTCCTCTCTTAGCTACTAGGCCTAAGTACCTATTAGTCGATTAATTGTAATCAAGATTACCATATGAGCACGTCTTTCTTTCTCCTCTAAGGTTTCAATATAGATTAGTGGGCAAAA